TGATTCATCTTTTTATATGGGTATTGATTCTTTATTTTCTTGAACCCTCAACTATGATTTTTATTTGAATTTTTTATATTGCCTTAGAAAGTAGGAAGTATTCATATTATGATGATGGTTGAATTCAAGTTGGAGAGAGGAATGTTTATGTGCTTATGTTGTGATTGTTATGAGGTTGTGATAAAAAAGAAAAAAATGTGAAAAAGAAGTGAAAATAAAAAAGAAAGAAAAAATGAAAAAAAAGCTTTAAAAAAGAAAAACAAAAAGAGTTCTAATAATCGTGCTAATAAGTGATGTGTGTTTGTTTGAAATTTGGAATGAAGGAGAAGTTTGATTGAAATTATTTTGCTTTAGTCTTTGTGAGTTGACCACTCCCTTAGGTTTAAGCAAGTTTTTGTTTCGATTAGCTTTAGGATTTATCCCTTGTTTGTTAACCAAGCCACATTACAACCTTGAAAAACCCTTGATATTCTTGCCTTTGTATTTTTAATATGAATTTTTGGATGAATGCATAATTTAGTCTTTTGTTTGCAAGATTGTGGATGAGTGAAAATACCTTATTTGGTGTATTTTTCATCTACCGGTGATTGTTTTTGCTAGGTGTGATTATTTTGTGAACTAGTATTATTTTAGAATGTTTATCATGAATTTTGTATTTAGCTTTTGTTTCGTGTTTATATTATAGTCGTAGTTTAGTGGTAAATATTTACTTTGTGTGTATTGTTTTTTATTTGAACCATTGCATTTGTTTTGCATTTTCAAAACTTGTCGATTCATGATTTTTTGGTGGATCATTATTGGTTCTTCGAGTTGTTTGTTTCTTGTTTAGGGACAAACAAGTTCAAGTTGGGGAGAGTTCGATAAGTACCAAAATGTTGTTATTTTGTGTATATAATTTGTAGCACTTATCGATGCTTTTTGTTAATATTCGTTGAATAATCCTGACTTTGTTGTAAATACGTTTAGTTTGCATATGATTGAATTTTCGATTCATTTGTGTAACATTTGATAGTTTTAATGTCTTTTGTAGGCATTGTTGTGTATGTGGAGCATCGAGGAATAAGGTGTCGAAGACACGGCTCCGGATGCATGTTTTCGGAATAAAAGTCCATTTTTGGGAAGTTCTGTCTAGGCAGGCATGCTAAGCGGAAGTTGTAGTGCGTTGCGAGTGTTTTGACAGGTTTGGTAGGAGTTGTGCTGATGAGGCCGCTTACCGGGACGAGACCGCTTAGCAAGATTTAGGTTGGTTTAATGTGTAAATATCGCACAGCCCGCTTAGCGCGATCAACCCGCTTAGCGCGGCCTATTGAGATGAGTTTTATAAAAACAGATTTAGTTCATTTTTAGGTTATGATTTTGGGGAAGTTTTTGCTCCCAACTCTATCAACCTTCATTTTTGTTAGATTAGCTTAGAAAACAACACTAAGGCTTTGCTTATGGATGATTAGAGGTGGATTTCTCATCGACTAACACTGACAAATCGGAAGATTTGTGGTTTATCTCTTCTCCTCTCTTTGTATTTCTCTTTTGTTGGGTATTATAAGTATATTTTCTTTGAAATCATGTATATTTGTCGCCCTTGGCGTTATATAAAACTTGCTTTACAAATCTTTGTCGATTTTTATCCTTTGCTCTGTGCTAAGGATTTGAGTTGTTATAGACATATACTATTTGAATTCTTATCTAGGATGATTATCTAATATTGTCTGAATTCTAGAGATAAATTTAGCATTGTTATTCACTTTGGGTGTCTGTGATTAATGCCTCCGTGTTGTTGTTTGTGTCACTCTGAGAGATCGTCGATGTAGGCGAGTACGGTTGACTTCTGTGTTGTTGAGGTGGTTGAGAGGTCGCTACCGAGGTAATGCAGTCGGCCTCTCAATTTGGATTAGAAATGACTTAGATTATGAGTGACACATGATGACATTGATGAATATTGTAGGTTTAGTATAAAAGGTTGATAGGTTTAAGTCTGTGAGAAGTAGTATATATGCATATGCTTGATAAGTTATTTCTTTTTCCTTTTTATACATTTGTTTTCTGTTGATACCTTTCTATACAAACCAACCCATTTATCCCCAAACTCATTAACGAGAGATTTATCGAATAACATTTCAATACACCAATCTCTGTGGACACGATACGGTATAACCTATATCACCTGGTAAATTAATAACTTACTTTTTTCTTGCCGCTCTACCGTATTACTTTCATGTAATATAAGTTTCATCTCAAAATAATATTTGTAATTCAAGATATTATCATCAAAAGTAGGTAGTATGAGCAAATAATGAAATATTATAACTTAAGTTTGTAACATATATTTTACTATGTTGCATTTATATTTTTTTAATCAATAGAATTGTAAATTATTTTATCATCTTTCAAATGATATAAATAAATATGAAAACTAAGTATTGATGTCTTTATGAAATTTATATATCGAGTCAGTTCATGAACCAAATGAATCAAACTATACATAGCTCAAGTTCAAGTCATTTATTTTACAAACTTAATTTTGAGCTCAGGTTCGACTCATTTGGTTAATGAACCAAGTCCAATGAGTTAATTACCGAATCGAATCTCGAATTATTTTCGAATGGTTTGGTTCGTTGTTAGTCCTATATTAGATTGAACCCTGGCTAGAAGATACATTGTATTACGGTTTGGCATGGAAGTTGCTCAAAACCCCACTGTTTAGGATTGACAGGGAAGTTGCTCAAAACCTCATTGTTTCCTACATGAACCGAACGAAGAACACCCAACCTCTCTCATCTCTCTCGTGATTATAAATTTCCTTTCAACAAACAACAACCCAATTCTTATAACCTAATCATTACCCAAATCAAATCGTATAAACTAACAACAAAAACATCAAAACAAACAACAATAATCATGAGAAAATGAATTTTTATGGCATAACATCATACACATCAAACAACAATAGAAAAGTGAAGCGTGAAAAAGACAGATTTATCAAACCGAACGCGACCCCGACAAATTTAGTGCCTTTTATGGTGTTCTACTCCGAATCCAGCAAGGTCAGATGCTTCGAAACTACTTTTCGTCGTTCTCTCTTTTTTCTTCTACCGTAAAAACTTTGAAGTCGGATTCTACAATATATAACAAAAACATCACAAAAATCACACTGTCAGATAAAATGAATCACTTGAAAACAAATAAAACCATGGAGCAAAATCAAGTATAGCAGAGAAAAAACAGAAATCGTAAAATAAACATAGCGTGTGATAGATTAAGAATGAAATGGAATAGATGAAAAATGGAAGCAGAGAGAGGCGATGAAGCATGCAAACACAGAGACAGAATAAATAATTTGAATGGAAACAAATGATACATGTGATTTATAATGACAATTGACGTGAAACATGAGAAGTTGTGGAATTTTTCGTTATCCAATGTGTTGATTATTGATTTTCAAAAAATATTTTCTACGTTCTTTAGAAGTTTAAGAGATGAATTAATGATTAATCTTTTTTATTTTAACATAAAAAATAAACAATAAAGGTTGAGAAAAATGATGAAATTAACACATTAACTTTATTAATTATCAAATCAACCACAATTAAACAAAGATATAATAAATCGATTTTAAATTTAGAATAATAAAAAATTAGATATTTTATTAGAAAAGTACATTTGATTTTTCAGATAATTTACTTTTTATGTATTTATAATAAATAATAGATTTCCCTTTCTAGACTAACACAATATACACCTGCATTGAGTTCTCTTTACCCACATCGATAAAATTGCATAATTTCTATTAAAAGTCAAATAGTCATCATTAAAAAAAAAAGTTTAATATAAAGCCAAAGAAGAGTTGTTAAAGAAAGACTACCCTGGTGCATTTGTCCAAATGTACCCTCAAAACACAACCTACCTCCTCACGACTATTCCTCCTTATCATTGTTATTTTATGTCCTTTCAAAATACATCTTCGCACTCTTTTTCTTTCTTTATAATCAAGAAACCAGTTCAAAACTAGGAAAGTTCTATATAAAGGAACATATGCTCACATTGCACATGATAAATATTAAAATCCATAAATCCATAAAAAGTCAATAATATCCTTCTAGTTCCTGTGTCACGCCCATGGGCCACTCGCAACAAGAAAATCGAATAATCAACTCAAATAAAAAATAAAAATAAATTTAAATTTGTTTGGTCAGCAATAAATCTCAAAATAGAACCCCCCAAAAAAAAAGTAGTAAATCTCTCTAACAACACCAAGCCTAAAAGAAACGCGGAGAAGCTGCCACCAAATCCCCCCCAAAAAATTAGAGAGATTGAGGGTGGGGGGTTGTTGAAAGATTGAAATTTCTATTCCACAGGTGTGGGAACTGTATTGTCCCTAACAAACAATAATCAACATAACTTCCTCTCATCTCATTTTCTCTCTTTCTTTCTCACTACTTATTATTAGTCTTTTTCAGTTCTTCCATTCTTCTTCCTCACGCCAAGGTTTTTTTTCTTTCTCCTCATTTTCCGTTTCTTAATATAACTAACGATATTGCCAATTTTATTCGCATTCTGTTTGATTGCCGCGAAACTTCTGCTAAAGGTTCACAAATTACCGATTTCGATTTCGATTTCATGCATTTTGAATTGCTTTCTGTTTAGGTTTTCGTTTTTCTGCTTCTGTTCTTCCGGAAATCAATAAGATGATTACGATTTGTTTCTGTTAGGTTTAAATTGTGTAAATGAAAGAAGGTGATGTTGAGTTCGGTTAGGGATCATCGTGTGTTTTTTCATGAATTTGCATTTTGTCAGATATATTATGTTTTGTTAATTTGAATCAGATTCAATCGTTTTTCATGAATTACTATTATTGCGGTTTTGTTTTGTATTACTGATTTTGCATGATTCAAAAAAGATGAATTCAATTAGTTTTTGTATAGGATTCTTTTTGTTTTATTTATTTATTTATTTATTTTTTAGAATATTTATGTATGATTTTGATTTGTTTTTTTTATGCAGCTATGCCGACTTTTACTGCTATAGCATTTGATAGGTTAATAGAGCCTGGAGCTTCTAGGGCTGCTCAAAGATCTGCTTCCACCTCCGTGCCGGTTCCTACTACGAAGAAGCTCGAGGGGAAGAGCAGTGAACAAACTGATCGAAAGAAGGTGCCTCCTCGTCCTCAATTAAAGCCGTCGCTGTATACTACTCCTGAGGTGACGCAGCTTCCGGATTCGCCGATTCATAATTCGCCCTCTTCGTTTCCGCCTTCTCCTTATATTATCAATCATAAGCGTCGTGGGCCGAGGTTGCTCAAGAGTTTCTCGGAGGCCAATGTACAGGCAAAGCAGGAGGTGAATGACGAAGGGAATGGTAATGGTAAGAGCTCTGAGACTGTGGTTTCTAGTTCAGCTGGTGACCTCCAAGTTACTTTCATGAACCCTGAAAATGTTAAGGAGGAGCAAGATAATGGTGTACAGGAGACCAAAGTTAGTAGCAGCAATGGTGGCGATGTCGGGCATGCGCAGAAAGAAAATGAAATTAGTAATGATCCTAATGGAATGCATGTTGAAAAGGTAGCGGCGTTGAAATTGGAAATAGATGGTGAGAGTGAAGACTTTTTTGATCTAAATGATTCTATGAGCTTCACAAGTTACACGGATGGAGAGGATAATACCGGCGCAGCACACTCTGCAAAGTATAGCACTGCTGGGGAGTTTTTTGACGCTTGGGAAGGTAAATTGAAACAGGTTAACTGTCGATTATTTTTTTTCACAATTTAGCTTGTGCATGTGGACGACCATAGGGGTATGTTCTTCAATAGAGTTTGTAATTCAGTTATTTATTTTAATTTGTTTTTTTTCTTCTCATGTTTTTAGGATGTATCACTTATGATTGTTGCTGTAGTCATAATCATAGTATCTTAAATTTTCAGTACTTATCTTGTTTAATTAATACATAATTTCTAGAGTTACCATAAGGGGAGGGAAAAAGGATCTGTAGAGGTTTTGGGAATATTTTATCTCATAGATAGGTTTACCTGAATCTTTTTTTCTTTGCTGTAGAACTCTCTTCTGACGGTGGGACTCAATGTTCTCTACGCGATGTTGATGCTGAATTGCGTGAAATAAGGTTGAGTCTATTGATGGAGATAGAGAAGCGAAAGGAAGTTGAAGAATCCCTTAAAAGCATGCAAAGCCAGTGGGAGAGAATCAGACAAGGGCTCTCTCTTGTTGGAATTGTTTTACCTGCAGATCTTACTGCTTTTGCAAAAGGTGGGCAACTGAATTCTGATCCCGTGGATGATATATGTCAGCAGGTTTACATTGCTAGGTTCATAGCAAACACCATTGGGAAAGGAACTGCCAGGGCTGAGATGGAGGCAGAGATGGAAGCCCAATTAGACTCCAAGAACTTTGAGATTTCTCGATTATTGGAACGCCTTCATTATTATGAGACCATGAATAGGGAGATGTCTCAGAGAAACCAAGAGGCAGTAGGTGAGATTTATGTAGCTCAAATTTAATTTCCGTCAACTTTCAATATGTCATAATACATCTATGTAGCTCCTAGCTTGTCGGGTTTATTTATAATTTTTCTTTTCCTTATAACAAATATTTCCCATTATTATCCATTTAAATTGAAACAAGCATGCTTGTTCAAGAGTTATAAACACTAGGTGGCACTGAGTTTCTGCAATATGGTAATTGACTATGACTGTGGCATGTTAATCTCATTATTAGAGTATTGGAGTTGTCTGTCCATGGGTAGGGTCACATGTTTGATTATGTAAATGAAGATAAATTAAATAGTTGTGATCATACATTATGAACTCATAAGTTGATACTTGTATGCAGTGTTATTGCAATTATAGACCTAGTGACAAACGATTTATCATTATTGTTTAATTTACTGGATTTTTACTTGGTAATAAAACTAGTGAAGTATGACATGTATTTCAATTGCTAGGTATACATTCTACAAGTGCTTTACTTCTGAAGTTTCTTTGAAGCGTTAACATGTTTTTTTCCCTTAGAATTCCGGCTTCCATGTTTATTTACCTTTGATTTTGTATTAGGTAGCAATACATTTGTAGGAGCAGCGTTTATTTGCTTGCTAGTTCTGGGCTCTTACCATTTACTCCCTCCGTTTTTAATCATATGTCACTTTGCCACTTTTACATTAAGAAATGTAATTAAATTTTGTATGAGCAAAAGATAAAATTGAGCTATTTTACATAATTGTCATTTGTTATTGGTATGAGAAGGATAAACTAAGAGAATTGAAAGAAAAGAGAATAGTAAATAGTTTTGATAATGATAGAAAAAGTAGCAGGAATGTTTCATTGGTATTGTAAAGTGCGTGACTTATAATTTTAAACGGAGGTAGTACCTATCTATGTTAAGTTATGCCCGATCATGATTATTACCTATGTATAGTGGGTCAAGCCAATAGATTTTAAATTTTTTAGGCTATGTAATTAGCTGTTGCCAATGACATGTCTACGCAATTAATATTCTGTTGTTTGCTTCCTAAATGTATGCCCTAGTTCTTTTACCTTGCTTTGCTCCACTTTTTCTCATTTGTGTCATTTATTGTCATGTTTAGAGATGGCACGGCGTGAGAGACAGAGAAAGACTAGAAGGCAAAGATGGATTTGGGGCTCTATTGCTACTGCCATTGTACTTGGTACTACAGCAATAGCATGGTCTTACCTCCCATCAAGTAAAGGATCAACATCTGCAGATCATGATCAGGTTTCCGAACACGATGATGGAGCCAAGTAATATTTCACCAACACTAACTTTGGCTAGTAATGGTAGGAGAGGAGAATAAAAGTTTTACATGCTACTATTGTGGCTTACACAAATCATACTTGAACAACTACAATTTTGCGGCATTTTGAGTCTGTGCATAATATATTGGGCCGTTCAGTACAAATACTTTGCCTTCCAGTGCAAAAGTCTAGATGGTTGATTAGTAAAATGGTACAGTCCATATTGATAAAGATAATACCCTATAGTTTTTTCTTACCTTGGCATCTGATACATTTCAGAGCACATATAAATTCTTTATGCTTGCTTCTCCAAGCATTCTAATACAGCAGAAGAAATTTGATACCTAGTGTTATTAATAAATGAAATCTGGTCAAAGATGCTTGCACATTTCAGTTGTTTGTGTTGCCTGATGAAAAAGCAATTCGTTAACTCTGGAAGTATGACTATATTTCCCAAGCAATGATGCTGCCCCTTTCATTGAAATAAAATGATGCTGATTGTAATATTTTTGTTACGTATTTATTTTGATGCCGTAGTAAATTACATTTTTTTGGGAGGATTTTACCAATCCCCTAACTGAAGAAAGCTCTGTAATCATTGTACACGTTTTATTGAGAGGAAATTGAGAAAATTTCCATGGTCTAACTTATGAAGTGTTATGATTTATCCCCTCAATGGGAAGAGGCTTCATTTTTATGCCATATGTTTTATGCTTGAATATCTTCCTGAAGAGATCTCGATTGTTGATAGTGCTTATTATTTTTTTCCGAAAGTCATCACACGGTGTCTAAAGAGTCTATTTTGCAGTTTCTTGAGAATTTAGCTTTCTGTAACTAAAAGAAATAGTGTTTATCATGAGTCAAAAATCAAAATAAAATGTTTTCGCTTTTTGTGTTGACCTTATTATTTCAGTAATTGTATGTGCCATTCCTTTTTATGACGTGCCCGCCTTTTTGAATAATACTTTTAAAAGGAAATTTGTATGTAAGATGGTTCAAATGATAATCTGAATAAGTTAAAATGAATGGAATCACAAACGTTAGGATGATAACAAAAGGTCAAAGAAAAAAAAGGCATGAAAAGGGGAAATATAACATGAATATGGATTCCTAGCTTTATTCAAATTTTTTTTATAACATTCTAGTGAAAACATGTTGACATAAGTCATGAGTCATAAGTCTCAAATGATTATGAACTTGCATTTTAAAAAAATATCATTCCATAAAAACAATTTCAAAACTCTTAACCCGAGTCAGACAATCCTATTAATGAAACATGCATCTAAAGCATTTTTGAACATTCTGATGAATTTTGTTTAAGGACAAAAAAAAATATAAGTTAGAGAGAGTTGATAAGTGTTCTGGACTGGGTCCGCCCTGGCCCAAAAACAGGGACAAAGACCCAATCCAAGCAGCTCCTCGAGTAATGCGCGCCCGCGAATTTCCGCCAGCGTGTACGACCACAGACTGCAGTCGTGCCCGCCGTTGCCCGCGACACATGGTGTTCCCGACCAAGAGAACGCCAGCTCGAGCCCTGCTCGAGCACTCTCCTCGTAGGGCAGATTCTGTCTTCTCTGACCGTTATCGAATCATCTAAACTCCGGAAAGACCGCGTCTTCGTCCCTCTTCATTTCTCGCAGAGCATCACCAGGAAGGGGACTATGTGCGGATCCCCACTACACACGTAGAACCTGAAAGTTCCTTTATTGGGCCAGTTCTGGTCGGCCCAATGAGGGGACCTTGGCCCAGCGCTGGGGGCTATAAATACCCTCTGTTCCTAGAGGGTCAGGTATTCATCTTTTACGCATACATACACTTTTTGCCTGCTCATTCCGTCACTCATTTTGGCATCGGAGTGCCTTGCAGGTACCCCCCCCCCCCCATCTCACTCAAATTCTGCCCAAGCCAGTCGTGGCGGTTCAAGTCTGATCAGGTAAGATCAGTGGCGCCGTCTGTGGGAGACTAGCTTCCCCATCTTGCAAACCCTCGAAGACCAAAGCTCAAAATCACCCCCTACCGTCATGGCTGACCAAGTCCGAGACGAACAGAACGTCTGCGTCGTCGACGTCAACAACAACGTCGTGGATAAAAACGAAATTCCCGACAACACCGGCAACCCCGGCCATAGCACACTCCCGGGGGGCACCATCCCCGAGCCCTCAGTCCACCGTGACGGAGCCACTGCCCCCTCTTCTTCAGTCCCTCCGCCCCTCGAAGAAGACAACGCAGCTCCCCCAAACTATCTGGCTGCCCAATTTTAGGAAGTCCCTGTCCCCGCCGGGGCAAATGCCACAACCTGCGCGCTATTCGCGGCGATCAACCAAACCAACTACCTCATCTTTGCCCAGGGGGAAAGATTGAGGGCGTTGGAAGACGATAGAAGACCCGCGAGGAGACACAGGAGGCCTCAGACTCCACCTCCTCGAGTAACAGAGATACATCTCCCGTCTCCCCCGCGGAGACAATACAAAAACACCTCCCGAAGCCCGTCACCTCGACCGTCGGGGAGACGACCCCCCTTGGAGAGACAACCTGTCATTGAAGCCGGAGGGCGCAACTATGGCCCCATACGACAAGAAAGAAGACACTCTGGAGATAGGCACAGAAGAATTGACCAACGAGCACCACGCTCGAGGGATACCCAGCACGACCAAGACCGTCGGGCACGACAATATCTCAGATCCCCATCCCTGTCCCCGGAGCGAAGTGACGAGGACGACCCCCGCGGTCCCCTGTCACAAGCCATCATGGAGGCTCCCATTCCCCCGGGCATGGAGAAGCCTCCACATTTGAAGGAATACGACGGAGTCGCAGACCCAGTCGACCACATAGACGGGTTCGAGGCTATGCTGCATTACCACAACGTCGGGGGACCCATCAAATGCCGGTTGTTTCCTACGACCCTCAGAAAGGCAGCAATGGATTGGTATAAAGGCCTCGCCCCGGGATCAATCACCTCGTGGCGAAACCTGAAGAATCAGTTCATAAGTTCGTTCACTGCGTCTCGGAGACACCCAAAGACCGAGGCAGCACTCGAGGCCATCATCTAGAGACATGATGAAACCTTGAGAGAATTTATCAATCGCTTCAATCGCGAAGCCATACAGGTCCCCTGCGCGGACCACATGAAAAGGTACTTGCTGGAGAGGGGGCTTCTCCCCGGCACAGAATTTAGAAAGGCGGTGGGCATCGAACCACCTCGAACATTCGATGCTCTCCTCAAGAAGGCCCGGGCATATATGGATTACGAGGAAAGGGAGGCGGCCAACAGAGCCCGGGACCCCAGAACTCGCGGATCCAGCAGCAACCCGCGCCAGGAAGCCGCTCCTCCTCGACAAACCGGGGAGAAAAGAAAAGAGGACAGACCCAGAGAAGTCCGAGAGCAAAGAGGACCCTCGGGGCATTTTACAGAATACACTCCGCTTACAGCTTCCCGCGAGCGCATTTTGGCGGAGTGTGCCAGCACCGATTTTAAAGACGGCGGCATCAAGCGCCCTCGACCTACTCCTGCCAAGCCCGAAGTAGACAAGAGCAAATACTGTTAGTACCATAGGAGCCATGGTCATCTGACTGAAGACTGCGTCCACCTGAAGGACGCCATCGAAACCCTCATCAAGGGAGGGAGGCTCGCCCAATACCGGAGAAACGACGCTCCTCGTCGCGACGCCCGGGAGACAAGAGAATTGGAGGAGGACGCCCGACCATCTGACGAGTCGGTCCCCGTCCAGACCGCCTTCTCTGTCACCCGACCGAAGGACTTCTACGTCCCCGAACACCTGCAGGAGCCACTCACGACACACAACAGGTGGGAGTACTTTCCCTCCACCATGGTCATCAATGGTGGAGGATTCAACGATCTAACCATCAACTCGACCAAGAGAAAGCTGGATGAACTGGTCGACTCTGCTCCTCCTCAAACGGTGACTTTTGAAAGGGTGAAAGGTAGGTCGGAGCCTATCACCTTTTACCTCGAAGAGCTCCCCGGAGGAGCCCCCAATGCAGTCATTCCTCTGCTGATAAGAGCGAGAATGGCCAACTTTGACGTGCACCGCATCCTCGTCGACGAAGGAAGTTCCGTCGACGTGATGTACAATCAATTATTTCGGACTCTGCAACTGGACAACTCGCACCTCTCGACGTATGTAGGGTCAGACTTACAGGGCTTCAACGACTCGACCTCCAAACCTTGGGGATATGTCGAGCTCATGGTCACCTTCGGCGAGGGCACGGTAACGAGGCAGGTCAAGGTGCGCTTCCTCGTCATCGACTGCCCGTCCCTCTACAACTGCATCCTGGGGAGACCAACGCTAGCAGAGCTAACCGCGATGCCCTCCACCGTTCACTTGAAGATGAAGTTCTACACCAAGAGGGCACAGATGGCTACCATCCAGGGGGACCTAGCCGCTGCTCGAAGGTGTTTCAACGTTGCATCCAAAGGACGCGACACTGTCAACACTGGTACAAGGCCCGCCAAGAGACCAACAACGACACGACAAGAGCCCGACAAATCAGAGCCCGCCAAGGTAGAATACCAGAGAGCTCCCCTAAAGATCGACTCTATAGCTCTGGATACCCGTTTCGATCAGGACGAACCTCCCAACGGCGAGCAAATCCCCCTCCGACCAATCTCGGACGGGGACTTTAAGCTCGTCCCCCTCGGCGCAGACCCAAGCAAAGGAATGGAGATTGGCATCGACCTCCCCGACCTGGCAAGGAAGCAGATCAAAGCCTGCTTGCGCGAGAATGCTAACTTGTTTGCCTGGAGCGCCGCGGAGATGCCCGGACTCGACCCCGAGGTCGCCTGTCACCGTCTCGCCATAGATCCTGCCGCTAAGGAAGTAGTACAACGTAAGCGTAGGCAGTCTCCAGAGAAAACAGAGGCTGCTGAAAAAGCTGTAAAAGACCTCCTAGAGGCGAATTTTATTTCTGAAGCCCGGTATTCAACCTGGCTGTCAAACGTTGTACTAGTTAAAAAGAATAATGGAAAATGCCTGATGTGTGTTGATTATA